TGTTAAAACATAATATTTACGCAATTTCGTTCTGCAATTTTAAATATGGAACCAAACTTCTGTAAATCTAGTGTTAAGAACAAAATTAAATTATTCTTAACAGAAGCGATGGAAGTTTTATATATCTTCTTCTACATATTATTACTGTAGGATTAGGAATGTAAAATCTAATCTTTTATTAAGATTGCGCGAACAAAAGAAATAAACATGTAACTGTAACAATAATAAGAGTTCAACGCGATCGATACGAAGAACGCTCGTCTTCTACATTACAGATATCTAGAAATTAGAAAAGAAATTTGTATTTACACCTAATGAGTAGCAGTGTACAGAATAATGTAAATAAATTTATAAATCCTTCCCCTTGAATTTTGAAAAAAATGATACGAAATTCAAGTGGATCTAATTTCTTTCATTCGGGGATTTGGAACACGGTTCGATGGACCCAAAGAATTCTGCAATTTTTGATAGATTTCTTGAGTAACAAAGGTATTTTATTTATTAATTCTTACAAAATAGCATTGCATACCATACAAAAACGAAAACATAAGAGCTCACGAATTCGTTTAAATGGCGCTAAATTTTGAACATTCCAACAATTTTAAAATGGAGTCCAATGAATCGTTCGATAAAATAAGTAATTTCGCGTGGCCCATCCGATGACAAAAGAGATCTTCCCTCCGGGGGAGGGGTTGATCGAAGAAACTCGACCGTGGAAATGAAAGAACTGCGTTGCAGTTCGAAAGGAGCAGCTGTCGAAATCACGGGCCGATCTTCCATGGAAGAAACCAAGCCAGAGATTAAAGGGGAGGGTCCGGAGAAGGGAAAACCACCCTGGCGCGCGCGCGAGCGTTTCGTCGACACCCTTCACGAAAAATGTGCACGTGCTGTTGTGGGGTAGTCCCCCGTGGCCAGGGATCTCCAACCACTCGATGTTCGCGAGGAACTTCGGAATTAATTCAGGGCGCCCTGATCAGGCAATTACGAGCGTAAACTTACGATGAATTACGAACCCTATGGAGCTACAGTTTTCATTCACGATGTGTAATTCTCTGTGTGTCGTGAAAAGAATGCAATGTTTTTTTATGGATTAATGGAAATTTGTTTTCGAGGAGGTTGGAGATCGCTGGTTGGGGAGGTAGTTTTTGAAGTTCTACGCCAATGGTAGCGTTCGCAGTTCAAGCTGAGAGCGCTAAACGTTTCGTTTATTCGTTCAATTATCGTTAATAGGTATTATTTGCGAAAATTGTGTATCATTTGTACAGATTATTATTATCGATATTATTTTTTTTAATTCTTTGTCAAATTTTACCGATTACGTGAAATTAATGATACATTTTAGAGAATTTTTCTATTTTTTTTTTTATTTTCTTGAATTCAACAATCGTTGTCGTGCGCATTTTTAGAGAAAGTGTATCTCTATTAACCCTTTGCACTCTATGAATTCATTTTAATGGAAGATGCTACTTTAATGAATATTAGAATTGTCCTTTTTCTCAGAGAAGCTTATAAATGTTTGCAATTTAAAATTCCTTCGTTCGTTATGTTAATTGAGTTTTTATTACTGTACATAAATCATTGGAGTGTTTGTAAAAGAGGACATTGAAACTTCAAACAATGGGTGACCAAATTAATCGATTATGAAATTAACAATGAAGATTTTAGAAATTAACAATTGGAACATCGGAATTTTTTGTAAGTAAATGTGTATCGTTGTTTTAAACATTATACAGGGTGTTAGACCCTGGGAAAAATTTTAATGGAGGATTTTAGAGGCCAAACTAAAAGTTATTAACAATTTAAAGTTCCGCCAGTTCTGAATTTTTTTCTCAGAAATGCGCAGGATTTTGGGGGTATGTCTATTCACCAAAAATGATTGTAATTGACCCCCGCAACCGAAAATAATTTTTCCAAAACGATTTGAAACTTTTTTTTTCCGTCGAAAAATTTAGGCTTCTCGAATTTTTTTCTTGAAAATGCGTAGGATTTCGGGGGTAATTGTAATGACCAAAAATGATTGTAATTGACCCCCGCAACCGAAAATAATTTTTCCGTAACGATTTGAAATTTTACTTTTTCGTCTAAAAATTTTGACAACTTCTCGAATTTTTTTCTCGAAAATGCGTAGGATTTCAGGAGTATGTGTATTCACCAAAAATGTTTGTAATTGACCCCCGCAACTAAAAATAATTTTTTTAAAATGATTGAAAAATTTTTTTTTCGCCCAAAATTTTGGGCATCTTCTCGAATTTTTTTCTTGAAAATGCGTAGGATTTCGGGGGTATGTGTAATGACCAAAAGTGATTGTAATAGAGCCCTGTAACTAAATATAATTTTTCCAGAACGATTTGAAATTCTTTAATTTTGTCGAAAAATTTCACACCTTCTCGAATTTTTTTCTTGAAAATGCGTAGAATTTCGAGGGTGTATGTAATGACCAAAAATGATTGTCATCGAGGCCTGCAACCGAGCATAATTTTTTTAGAATAATTTGAATAATTTGTTTTTCGTCGAAAAATTTAGCGATATTCTCGAATTTTTTTCTTGATTTAGGATTTCGGGGATATGTGAAATGACCAAAAATGATTGTAATTCACCCCCGCAACCGAACATATTTTTTTCAGAACGATTTGCAATTTTTCTTTTTCGTCGAAAAATTTAGGCATCTTCTCGAATTTTTTTCGTGATAATGCGTAGAAATTCGGGGGTATGTGTAATGATCGAAAATGATTATAATTAATCCCCGCAGCCGAAAATAATTTTTCCGCATCGATTTGGAATTTTTCTTTTTCGTCGAAAAATTTAGGCATCTTCTCGAATTTTTTTTTTTAAAATGCGTAAGAATTCGGGGGTAATTGTAATGACCAAAAATGATTGTAATTGACCCCCGTAACCGACAATAATTTTTCCATAACGATTAGAAATTTCTTAATTTAATTGTTAATAACTTTTTAACGGAGCCTCAAACAAAAAACTGATATTCTTGATTTCCGTCTTATTTTGGCTTCTAGAATCATTAAAATCCCATTAAAATGTTTCCCAGGGCTGGCCAAACACCCTGTTATATCGTTGTTTCAAACATTATATTTAATCCTTCGATAAGTATCGTAAGAATTTCGTGAAAAATATGGCGGTTAATGAGTTGCTCGACCGACACGTGCCGTTTCCGGATGGTTGCCTAACCCTGGCGGGGGTTGAGTGAGTTCCGGGGGGTAGTGTCGACGCCGATGGCCTCGTAGGATTCGCAGTTTAGGCTGTCAATGTTACGAGGACGGTGTGACAGCACGCCCGGTTCGTGGCACACGGCGACGAATGCTCGACAGGAGCGAACACGGTGCGTGTTTCTTCAGTGTCGGGCACGCAGCCAAACAGCGCGCTCCTTTCATTCCCGTTGGCTCTCACCACCGCTAGAAACGTTCCCTGTTTTTCCCTCTTCGAGTCGAAAGGGCGGGAAGCTCGCACAGTGTCCACCGTGTCGAGGGAAAACTGAAAGCTCCCTGTTTCTCCACCCTTTTGTTTCGCGGGGAAATCCAGTGATCGTGGAGTCCAAGTTCGCGAAGTTACGATCGTTATTTATCTGCTCGGTGCAAGCGTTCTTCCTTGCAAAACGCGGTGCAAACGATTGCAAAACATATTTCGACGACCACAGTGCCACTGTCAAACTATATCTACTGATCTGTGCATAGAATATCTGACGATATTGGTAAAAACACGCCTACGCAAAGTGCACGTTACAGTTTTCTGAAAAGCACCCAGCCGATCACTGTCGATAGTGAAAAAAAACAGAAAAAGTATCAAACCAATTACGAAAGTTACCGTGAATTTAAAGCATCCACTTCTGTGAAAAATGATGCGTTTCAATATCGAAAGTGTGGTTCGCGAATAAAAGAGTAAATCCTGGATCTGGACCACCATGTCGACTAAGTGTGCGTTCATCGCGATGTGTTTGCGAGTTTTTCGAACGGTTCGCTGATTTTCGCGAACAGGAGACAGATTGCGATTTCCCGTTGGCTACGTAGCCTCGTAAAAGCGATGAAAAAGGACCACCCTTGATGAACGGGCATTTCTCGCGGGTGATTTATCGCGGCAGGACGCGTTGACACGGTTTCGCGAAGTTTTTATTCTCCCCGAGCGGAACGAGGATTTACGCGTAGGACGCTGGGAGATGCTCGGGAAACAAACCGGGGATTTACCGGTTGGAAGAACTCGCAGCGACGCTGGTCGAAAATCGAAGAGGAAGCTGAACGCAGAATGCGCGCATTTACGCGGCTAAAATTGTTTGCCATCGTGGAGGAACGCCAGCGAATGTTGGTCGACAGCGGCTGATAGGAAATTGGATTAATAGCGAATCGATCCGTGCCTTTGGAAAGTAGTTCGATGCGAAGGAGAAAAAGATCGAGGAAAATTTTTTTCAACCAGGTTGTGATCGTCGAGCTCGTTCCGATTGTACAGAAAGTTTACCCGCGTTTAAACAAATTTTATATTTTTTGAAAATAATTTATCGAGAACCGTGGACGTATTTATATATTTTATATGACGGAATACTCGCACATTTTATATTTTCTGCGAAGAGATAATCGTAAACTAAGCTGATAGGGGGGGGGGAGGGGGGAAATTTATTACCTTAGAATTAAGCTTTCGAGTGACTGATGCAGTATTGAAGTTTCAAGTCCTAGTATTTACCAAAGAAATCGAGGATAGATCGATTGAAAAGATCGATCGTAGACTCCAAGGCTCGTGCACGTAATACGAGATCGTGTTGCGAGAATTTTCGATTCTTGGGAAGTTCGATTCGGATCGAAGATATATTTTGATACCAAAGGTGCCTGGCTGTTCTCAAAATAAAAGAAACACCGCTCGATCTTGAGCAAATAAATCGAGAAAAAGAACCAACCGAATATTCAGAGTTTCCCTCGATGCCTTGTACGTTCAAAATTATTATTTCGAAAGATAGAAAAATCTGACCAAGCTTTATAAATTTATCGATCAAAAGTCGAAATAAATTCAAAGACTTCGTGTCAAAAAGAAACTCTCGTGTACCAAAACCTGGTCCATCGAAAGAGCCATTCGAGGAGTGTAATTCCAAAGGTAGTGAAAAGCTCGCAAACTTGCGATCGTTAAGAGATTCCGGAAGACAGCGAAGGCTGGCCTGTATCCGTGGATCTATTCCGGCACCCAAACGTCGCCTTCCGTTCCGAAAATAAAGGTAAAAACCGTGACACACGCGATTCCGAATTGGTCAACGGTGGACAAAACGTGCAAGAGTGTGACTCGGTGGCCGAGAATCGAACGCGCTCCCGATACTATTCTAATCCCTGTCCTTGGGGGGGGACGCGTATCCGCCGTTGTCTAGAAGCCTGGAACTTGGCCGTGGCCGATTGATCGCGCACCAGGGTCTCCTCGTAGCAACAAACCGCGCAGAGGGAACACTAGGGTGCCAGGAACACATCTACCACGAGCACGCTGGCCGAAAATAAAGAGAGGAGCGATTTTCATCGGCAAATAATCGCCTCACTTCAGTATCCCGGCGCTTATCCGGCTCGGTGGCGGTGCTCGCGACGACCAGAATCCGTGAGAATCGGTGAGAATCGGTGAGTCGAAGAGCAAATCCAAAAAAAGCAGCTTCAATTCTCGTGCATCATCAACGCGTTAATTTACTGTTTCTTAACTTTATTCTAGAGATTTTAAGAAATACGAGAACTATATTTCAAAGATTATTTAACGAGATTTTAACGTGACTCTGACGAGCATTAAAAGAAAAACGCAAAGCATATAAACACAAGATACAACGTAATTTTATCGAGTGATTGGCTTATCTTCCGGTTGCACGAAAGGTCAAAGAAGTAGCCTGTGCAATTAGCGCGTTGGCCAAGGAAATATTGAACGCAGTTTCCCGCGAAAGATTCTTCCCACGCGGAGGATCGTCGACCTCCGTGCGCGAAGTGGCCCTCGAACGTTCAAGGAACGCTCTGGAGGACCAAGCCGCGTCGTTACAAGAAGCAGAAACCGACGGGGGAAATTGGAGCAGCGTATCGGGGGCACTTGAGTCCTCCGGGCCTCATCGAGCAAGCTAATTTTAAGACGTACTCGAGGGGGGACTCCTTCGACCTCTGGGATGATCAACGAGCATGGCGCCAGGAGCAACGACCCTGACGAGCCTTTTGCTCTTGATGACGATCGCGAGGTGCTCGAACGTCTCCGCGAGCCCCCAGCCGCTGTCCGTGAAGGTTCTGAAGGGCATCAGGCTACCGGGCGGTTACATGGAGGTGGTCCAGGAGGAGCACTGCTCGTACAGCGTCGTTCGACTGACCTGCAGGTCCCTGAAGGCGTTCATCTTCATCCTCGAGGCGGAGTATCTGTCGAACGTGACGCGCGTCTGCGGCCACGAGCCCCGGAAGATTACGAAGAAGAAGACGTCCAAGGGCGAAGGTAGCCTGGCACCGAGGAGCATGGAGCTCAGGGGGAATTACATCGACGAACCGGACGAGGAACATCTCGGGGCCATGGACATTCGACGATCGGTGAACAAAAGGTATTTTCGGTTTTTAAACTGACGATATTGCGGAGAGAAATTCAGATAGAAATACATTCTTCTGGCACCCTTTATTTACGCTTCCAGAAGTCTGACTTTTTAGAATTTCGTTTGTGTTTCTAAGGAATGCCCTGTCAGAGATTGCTCGAGGAGAGTTACAGAGAACGTGTTACGAATTCGATTGCGTAAAGCTCGAGTGTTATCACTAGACTGCGGATACTTATGCAAATTCATATTATTAATAAAATGGGAGCTTTGTAGATGATTGTCTCAACCCTTAAATATAATAATTCGTATCTTACTTTAAGTATTTCTTATATTTTTGCATATTAAGTGCATTCTGTAGTTTCTTGAGAATTAAAATTCCCCATGAATGCATAAACATCCGCAGGTCTAGTTATCACTTTTTAATAATCGTGTCAATCGTTCGCGAAAGAGTAGAACAGTAGATTGTATCGTAGAGTAAAGTAAAATTGAGTCATAATTTTTTGATGATAATTAATAGCTGTTGCGTGGATGTTGGTTACCAGTAGACTGCATTTGTGCATTTAATATGCAAAAATATAACAAAAAGTAAGATAAGAATTGTTGTATTTAGGGGGTTGAAAGAGCCCTCTACGAAGCTCTTATTTTATTAATAAATGTATGAATTTGCATAAAAATCCGCGGTCTAGCGATCAGGCTCTAGGTCGTGCGTGCCAAAGTTTTGTGGGGCTCCCCCAGGCATTTGTTTCGCCTTTCGTCACATTTCGACACAATAACCGCCTCCGAGTGGTAACACGAGTCACCCGCTAGGCATCCGCAAGGAAAGGAGAGAGTAAAGAATATTCGGTTACCGGGTGCCGTAGACCACAGAACTAGAAAACCGCTCCCGCGATCCACAGGTCGTAGCTACGGCCATTTTTCCCGATGCACGTTGATCTAATTCACATCGCGCGACGCGGATGCAGGGTAAATAATGAACGACTCACAAACAACAAATAAAGCGGTAAACAAAAAGTACCGAGACTCTAATGGAGACTAATGCTCAACCCATTAACGCCCAAATTATTTTTTTTTTTCAAATTTCAAAATTTCACTTGTTCAGACTTATTAGCCCCTTAACGCTCATATTTTTCGGGCTAACCAAGAATGATCAGTTTTCTTTATTGGATTTGTTTCTAAAGCTGCGGGTTTTGTTAATTACAATGTTGTATCCAACGTATAATTTGAAGGAAAACAAATATTATCAACCCTTAAACCATTAGACTAAACAAATATCGTTTTTCAACGCAGTCAGACTCGGGCATGAACGTTAAGGGGTTAATAACCTTGCCATGAATGAGAAAATATATTCCAAAAATTTTTTCCATCGCATTTTTGAATTTTTGGCCTGTTCTATAAGTAGGACGCTGGGGATTTGGTGATATTAGAATTGCAAATAGTATGTGTATATGAAAGTATTGACTAATGCTTAACTCAATAACACCCAAATTATTTTCTTTTCAAATTTCAAAAAATCACTTATTCAGATTTATTGGCAATCTTGCCATGAATAAGAAAATATTTACAAAAATTTGTTCCATCACATTTTTGAATTTTTGACCTGTTCTATAAGTAGGACCCTGGGATTTGGTGATATTAGAATTGCAAATAGTATGTGTATATGAAAGTATTGACTAATGCTTAACCCACTAACGCCCAAATTATTTTCTTTTCAAATTTCAAAATTTCACTTGTTCAGATTTATTGGTAATCTTGCCATGAATGAGAAAATATTTCCAAAAATTTTTTCCATCACATTTTTGAATTTTTGGCCTGTTCTGTAAGTAGGACGCTGGGACTTAGTGCTATTAGAATTGCAAATAGTATTGAAAATAATTATAAATTGAAATATTTATTTAAAACGAATGAAAATATATTTCTTTCTTATGATAATCTATTAAATAATTTTGATATAGTGTTACTGTACAGTTTTCACAATATGTTAGTGGTTTAGCTTTGCAACCCCCTCCTTGACATCGCCTTTTTCACGTTTTTCCATGAAATCTTACGTCCGTGAATACTTTAGAAGCTGATGTACATGGTCTTCCTACTGTTTTTGTATTTAAAGTTAATTTTAGATAGGAAACTGCTAAAGATCGACGAAATTCTAATGAACTGATATTCGATTTATTGACACGTTTGTAAAGAAGCCATAAAATTTACTCTTGCCATATCAATTAGTCTTGTGAACTTCTTAGCTTTGATTTAGGGGCATACTTTCCGACAAACCGGTCACGTTGATCCACGGTACCCCATATAAGTATTATAATTTTTCCAACACTTGTGGTTGTGAAATTAAACACAATATATTAGTGGTTTAGCTTTGACACTGGCTTATAATGGATTAATTACCGAACGAATGAGATTGAAGCCTCATGAGCATATTTAGAAAACTTTTCCCATTCGAGGATGGCGACCATACTATATCCTGCCCCCCTATTGTCGAAAATGTCGCCATTCGGGGAAAAGTATCGAGGGAGAACGAGCAACAATCGTGCGAATATAGCTGAAACGCAATTCCGCGAAATTAGAATTAGGTATCGGTAAGAAATGGCCATTTTTTCCACCCCGCCATAGTTCGGCCCTTTGTCGTTCCCTTTTCATGGCTTGTGACGTATCTTCGGGGGCGGAGCGAAATCTCGGCACGCAAAATCGTCGTTTGATGTGCGCCAGCAAAGCGTACGTGAGGTTTTAATTGCCTTTTGAGCGACGTTCGATGCCCGTCGAAGGAGAAATCGTTTTCAGAGGGAGTGCATCGCGCGAGCAAGGAGCACAGCTCGATGAACTTTGCAAATAAGGGGTTGCAACCGCGTTGCCAAAGGGGGCGAAACCCCGTCTCACCCTTTCGGGATCGTGTTCCGTCTTGGCGCAAGGATCGGTGAATGGATTTTAACTTTTTTTCTCGTCTCGTGTTTTCGCAAAATGACACGCGATACCGGACACCATACTCTGCACCAAATATGTGCATTAAAGGGGTAAACTTTTGAATTATTTCTTTTCTACCGATATTCATCGATGGGATATTGCAAATAGCTGTTTTATGGAAGTCGAAGAAATTTATTTTGATAGAGAAATGCAATTAAAAACTAAAAATTCTCCTTCGAAGTTTCTCCCTATTACAAAATGTGCACTAAAGGGGTAAACTTTTGAATTATTGATTTTCGTCGATGGATATTGTAAATATCTGTTTTATAGAAGTCGAAGAAATTTATATTGATAGAGAAATGCAATTAAAAACCAAAAATTTTACTCTGACGTTTCTCCCTATTACAAAATGTGCATTAAAGGGGTAAACTTTTGAATTATTTCCTTTCTATCGATTTTTCTCGATGGGATATTGCAAATAGCTATTTTATAGAAGTCGAAGAAATTTATTTTGATAGAGAAATGCAATTAAAAACCAACAATTCTCCTCCAACATTTCTCCCTATTACAAAATGAGTATTAAAGGGGTAAACTTTTGAATTATTTCCTTTCTATCGATTTTCCAAGATGAATATTGAAAATAGCAGGTTTATGGAAGTCGAAGAAATTTATTTTGATAGAGAAATGCAACTAAAAACCAAAAATTTTACTCTGACATTTCTCCCTATTACAAAATGTGCATTAAAGGGGTAAACTTTTGAATTATTGATTTTCGTCGATGGATATTGCAAATATCTGTTTTATAGAAGTCGAAGAAATTTATATTGATAGAGAAATGCAATTAAAAACCAAAAATTCTCCTCCAACATTTCTCCCTATTACAAAATGAGTATTAAAGGGGTAAACTTTTTAATTATTTCCTTTCTATCGATTTTCCAAGATGAATATTGAAAATAGCAGGTTTATGGAAGTCGAAGAAATTTATTTTGATAGAGAAATGCAACTAAAAACCAAAAATTTTACTCTGATGTTCCTCCCTATTACAAAATGTGCACTAAAGGGGTAAACTTTTGAATTATTGATTTTCGTCGATGGATATTGCAAATATCTGTTTTATAGAAGTCGAAGAAATTTATTTTGATAGAGAAATGCAATTAAAAAGCAAAAATTCTCCTCCAACATTTCTCCCTATTACAAAATGAGTATTAAAGGGGTAAACTTTTTAATTATTTCCTTTCTATCGATTTTCCAAGATGAATATTGAAAATAGCAGGTTTATGGAAGTCGAAGAAATTTATTTTGATAGAGAAATGCAACTAAAAACCAAAAATTTTACTCTGACATTTCTCCCTATTACAAAATGTGCATTAAAGGGGTAAACTTTTGAATTATTGATTTTCGTCGATGGATATTGCAAATATCTGTTTTATAGAAGTCGAAGAAATTTATATTGATAGAGAAATGCAATTAAAAAGCAAAAATTCTCCTCCAACGTGTCTCCCTATTACAAAATGTGCATTAAAGGGGTAAACTTTTGAATTATTTCCTTTCTATCGATTTTCCTCGATGGATATTGCAAATAGCTATTTTATAGAAGTTGAAGAAATTTATTTTGATAGAGAAATGCAACTAAAAACCAAAAATTTTCCTCCAACGTTTCTCCCTATTACAAAATGTGCATTAAAGGGGTAAACTTTTGAATTATTGATTTTCGTCGATGGATATTGTAAATAGCAGTTTTATAGAAATCAAAGAAATTTATATTGCTGGAGAAATGCAATTAAAAACCAAAAATTCTCAAAATTAAAAGTTTACTCTAAAAAGATTTACTCTAAAATTAAAAATTCTGTTTCTCACGCGATCTAGATAAACGCGTTTAAACTATTTTTCGCGAAAAAACGTTTGAGTGGAAGTGTTGGGGCTCGAAAAAAAGAAAAAAATTGAAAAGGATTCCGACGCGTGGGTGGCTCGCGTAACGTTATTTCCCTTTTATTTCCGGCGGGGGGAACGACGCGATAATATCGTGGAGGTGCGTTGGTAAAAGGGCTGAAAGTCCGACCCCTATTGTACCCCCACGGTCAGGCCACTTTTGATCCCCCGCGCAACAATCGTCCCGATCTGAAAACAATCGACAAATTTCTCCTTTGTCGCTCCGCGTTTTCGACGCCCGGTAGACGCCCTAATGACCGGCGTCGCTTATTTAATTGACGACGCGGGTGCGAGGAATCGATACAATCTGCGTTGCGCCGTTTACAATACGGTATAATCTGCAGGCGTGCAGGTGCAGGCTGGTTGGTAGCAATGGTTTTGGGTAGATATTGCTTCACCGATTCGCGAGAATGTCCCCCCTCGATGAAAGTGAATTTTCTACGTCGAACGAGTCTAAAGTGTGGACGAAATGTTTTGCAATGATTTTCAGAAATGATTTCTAATTTATTCGAATTGAGATTTTCAATTTTGGAGCCAATGTTATTTCCATTGGGCCGATGGTTAAAATATGTAAATTTACAATGAAAATAGGGTACATTTTTCAGTTTGTTTTTGCTACAAGAAGTAACCACTAACTTTAATGAATACATGAAATAGTTGCATTGGAAATCGATGTGTTTTTTCCATCCAGTTTGGAGTCCCAAACACTGAGTGATATTTGAAATTCTTTTTTATTGATTTAAACCGATGAAAATGTAAATTTTAAGCTTCGTATGTTCACTTTTGTTTCAACGAGCTGTAAAAAATTGTTCGAGTATAAATAATTGATTTTGTTTAAGAAATACATTGTTATGTGTTCGGTCACCCCTGGGAAAAATTTTAATGAGGGATTCTAGAGGCCAAAATAAGACGAAAATCAAGAATACCAATTTGTTGATGGAGGCTTCGTTAAAAAGTTATTAACATTTAAAGTTTCGCTCTTATGGAATTTTTTTCTCAAAAATGCGCAGGATTTCGGGGTTATGTCTATTCACCAAAAATGATTGCTATTGGCCCCTGCAACTGAAAATAATTTTTTCAAAGCGATTTGACATTTTTTTTTCGCAAAAATTTTAAGCACCTTCTCCAATTTTTTTCTCGTAAATGAGTAGGATTTTGGGGATATGTGTATTGACCAAAAGTGATTGCAATTGACCCATGCAACTGAATATAATTTTTTTTGAACGATTCGAAAATTTTTAGTTTTGTCAAAAAATTTCGCACCTTCTCGAATTTTTTTCTCGAAAGTGGGTAGGATTTCTAAGGTATGTCTAATGACCAAAAGTGATTGCAATTGACCCTCGCAACTGAATATAATTTTTTTTTAACGATTCGAAAATTTTAATTTTCTTCCAAAATTTTCGCACCTTCTCGAATTTTTTTCTCGAAAGTGGATAGAATTTCTAAGGTATGTCTAACGACCAAAAGTGATTGCAATTGACCCTTTCAACTGAATATAATTTTTTTTTAACGATTCGAAAATTTTTAGTTTTGTCGAAAAATGTCGCACCTTCTCGAATTTTTTTCTAGAAAATGGGTAGGATTTCTAAGGTATGTCTAATGACCAAAAGTAATTGCAATTGACCCTTTCAACTGAATATAATTTTTTTTGAACGATTCGAAAATTTTTAGTTTTGTCGAAAAATGTCGCACCTTCTCGAATTTTTTTCTCGAAAGTGGGTAGGATTTGTAAGGTATGTGTAATGACCAAAAGTGATTGCAATTGACCCTCGCAACTGAAAATATTTTTTCCAGAACGATTTGAAATTTTTGAATTTAATTGTTAATAACTTTTTAAGGAAGCCTCCATCAACAAATTGGTACTCTTGATTTTCATCTTATTTTGGCCTCTAGAATCATTAAAATTCCATTAAAACGGCATAAATAAAATAACTGAAATATTCAAAGACTTCCAACATCTGAAATTTTCAAAAAGCATGAACAAAAAGATCGACTCTTTTTTTATCTCGAAACTAGGCTGTCCCCTTAACACTGGCTTCCATTTCAGCGTTGCTCTAATGTCCTCTGACATTCAACCTACATTGTCTCCCGATAACATCCGTCCAGTCGGTTTAAATTAATTTCTGAGATAAACAATATATTTAGAGTGTGACATAATGCATGCGTGAAACATAGTTCAGAGATGAGTGTGGCACTGTAGAAACAATGAAAGATATTTATAATCAATTTCAGAGATAGATAATGTATTCGAGAGACCCAGTTCGAGAATAAATTTAGCACGTAGAAACAATAAAATGGCTTCGCAAAAATTTTCATTCGACTTCACTGCTAAGTTGGTATCGAGTTGTCGCGTTCTAGCAACCTGCGTGTGTTTACTTTCGCAAGAGGCGCTCAAAATAAACAGCCGTGGATCTCGGTGTAAGCATTTAAGCGCATTATCATTGATCTTCTTATCCCCTCGACATATCCAAGCGTTGCTCGGAATATCCTCGGAAACTTTGTTCAATTCTCTGACAGGGTACTTCAATATTACGAACTTGCTAAAGACAATGGATCTCAAAGCAACTCTCAAGCAAGAATCCATTGAATTTAACTCCGAATACAATGTGATGGCGCTGTAGGGTTAGAGTGTACGTGTAGTTTGTATGAACACAGTTTATTTGAGATATAGGCAATAAAAAATAGGTTACATATTTATAGAATACACAAATGGAGTAATATAAATGACCAGTATATAATAGTAATAAACTTTTACGCGGTTACATCTTTAACACGTGCCACAAGCAACAAAACACCGCAGCAGCGAGCGAAGCGACGCGCCACGGCGGGCCCTAACATTACTCGCCGCGGGAATTATAACCCAATTACACAATGTTTATGGAGTAGACGAGATCGTGTATAAAATATTGAGCATTGTTTACGATCAGTCGAGAATGCAATCAGTTCTATTAAACTGATATTTCTTTTTAAACTGAATCCCGAGTAAAAACTCAATTTTATTATATTTTAAAAGGTTTTGTTTTCCGAGTAATCTAGATTTCAATATCGTTTCGATCTCTTGAACTCGACCAACCATCGAGGAAGAATAATGTCGTTTTACAAATAAAATAAAGCAATCTCCCAAAATATGTGTCCCAGTATCCAAAATGTCTCTGAATTTTTGTACATTTTTTTACTCAATAAGTCAAGAGAAATTGTAGAAAAACATGATTTTCGTTTTCACCCCATTACTACCCCCACGGTCGAGATATCAAGTTAAAAATTGGCATACTAGGTTCTTTTTGGATAAGCTATCGAATGACCCGTCGTTCGTTCAATTCGGTTCGGGGGCACATTTGACCCTTCGGTCTCCTCATGATCCCATCAGGTTTTCCTTCGTTTTTCAGATGCTCCGGACAGAAACATTGCCGCTACAGTTTCACCACCGACCAGTCAGGCACGGTTTACTGGAAACCAGCTACTTTGCGGTTAAAATACGCCTGCATTCCCGGTAAGTGATTATCAAATCATTCACGAGTACATAAATTAATTCTTTGGACGTTCGTTCAGTGAGACGATATATAACTAATTTACGAGAAGTGGGGAGCACGTGAGAGACAGGAAACATTCTGAATAATCATTTAGAGAATCCTGTTGGGGAATCGATCCCCAGTCGTGTTCAATCGACGATCTGCGATCTGGATAGCCGGGAAACAAATACGTCGTCGAGATCGAACTTGAAGAGCGTACGAAACAACGCGTGTGTCACGTTCGTCGATCTTTACCTTGTGAAATTGATCGCTATCGAACGTTGAGAAAATCTATTTTCAACAGAATAAAATGTCTGACGTTGACGAATTATTCTCAAAACGAAGGGATTTAAAAAAAAAACCATACTTTCTACCAGAATAACGCCTGATAAATTAACTAATTGGCAATTGTAACGTCATCAACATTTCCCCAATCGACTGAAATAGAAAATGGAGACAAATGGACTTGTATTTCCAACGAATGGCGAATCTTCTCATCGAAACTTACCAGAATCTTACGAAAGCAACAGTCCGTTTGTCGTCACCAAAACCATACTTTCTACCAGAATAACGCCTGATAAATTAACTAATTGGCAATTATAACGTTATCAAACATTTCCCCAATCGACTGAAATAGAAAATGGAGACAAATGGACTTGTATTTCCAACGAATGGCGAATGTTCTCATCGAAACTTACCAGAATCTTACGAAAGCAACAGTCCGTTTGTCGTCACCAAAAACATACTTTCCAACAGAATAACGCCTGATAAATTAACTAATTGGCAATTGTAACGTCATCAACATTTCCCCAATCGACTGAAATAGAAAATGGAGACAAATGGACTTGTATTTCCAACGAATGGCGAATCTTCTCATCGAAACTTACCAGAATCTTACGAAAGCAACAGTCCGTTTGTCGTCACCAAAAACATACTTTCCACCAGAATAACGCCTGATAAATTAACTAATTGGCAATTATAACGTCATCAACATTTCCCCAATCGACTGAAATAGAAAATGGAGACAAATGGACTTGTATTTCCAACGAATGGCGAATCTTCTCATCGAAACTTACCAGAATCTTACGAAAGCAACAGTCCGTTTGTCGTCACCAAAACCATACTTTCTACCAGAATAACGCCTGATAAATTAACTAATTGGCAATTATAACGTTATCAAACATTTCCCCAATCGACTGAAATAGAAAATGGAGACAAATGGACTTGTATTTCCAACGAATGGCGAATCTTCTCATCGAAACTTACCAGAATCTTACGAAAGCAACAGTCCGTTTGTCGTCACCAAAACCATACTTTCTACCAGAATAACGCCTGATAAATTAACTAATTGGCAATTATAACGTTATCAAACATTTCCCCAATCGACTGAAATAGAAAATGGAGACAAATGGACTTGTATTTCCAACGAATGGCGAATCTTCTCATCGAAACTTACCAGAATCTTACGAAAGCAACAGTCCGTTTGTCGTCACCAAAAACATACTTTCCACCAGAATAACGCCTGATAAATTAACTAATTGGCAATTATAACGTTATCAAACATTTCCCCAATCGACTGAAATAGAAAATGGAGACAAATGGACTTGTATTTCCAACGAATGGCGAATGTTCTCATCGAAACTTACCAGAATCTTACGAAAGCAACAGTCCGTTTGTCGTCACCAAAAACATACTTTCCAACAGAATAACGCCTGATAAATTAACTAATTGGCAATTGTAACGTCATCAACATTTCCCCAATCGACTGAAATAGAAAATGGAGACAAATGGACTTGTATTTCCAACGAATGGCGAATTTCCTCATCGAAACTTACTAGAATCGAAAAGAAGTCTCTTTGAAGTCTTCCCGCGACCCTATTCGACATATTTCGATACAAACACAGGTCGTATATCATGCTGGATAGGTTAGATCAAAAGAAAAAGCGTGATTCGTGGCAGTTCCGTTCTGCAATTTCGAGGGATCAGAAGTTCGGTCCAACGCGTCATAATAGCAGCGTGGTCTTCCGGAAAAGGAACACTGTCGCATAACGAACGCGACAGAAAGAAGAAATTCCTAAAGGACACGCTAATCCGTGATTTCTATGCATCGGGGTATACGGTGGGATCGTGAAAAGGTTTCTACGATATGAATGCAAACCTCTGAAAAGGACGAACTTTCGCAGAGAAATTCTTAACTTCAAGAAAAATCTGCGTTCGATTAAAATAGAAACGGTCTTATTTTTTGCAAAGCGTGACGAACAATTTTTGAAACACTCAATTTCGTTTGACCGTCCAGCTGCATTTTTTATCCCGCTCGTAAATTACTGTAGGGTTGTGATAAATAAGGGTAGGTTGTATCACCCTGGAGGATTCGATGGAAGAAATAGGTGATCCACGCCCCTGTGCTTAAACTAAGTATCTTATTGTGGCTCAATGCACAGCCAAATAACTGTTCAAATAAATTATTCGAATGAAATTTTAGCTTTCGATTACGAGTGGTTGATTCATATTCGCCATTTTATTTTAGAAGATTAAGTAGATTTTATTCTAGAATTTTATTCTAGCTCAATGCATAGACAAAGAAGTGTTCAAATAAATTATTCGAATGAAATTTTAGCTTTCGATTACTATTGGTTGATTCATATTCGCCATTTTGTTCTTGAAGATTAATTAGATTTTATTTTAGAATCTTATTCTAGCTTAATGCATAGCCAAAGAAGTGTTCAAATAAATTATTCAAATAGAATTGTAGTTTTCGATTATGAGTGGTTGATTCGTATTCGCCATTTTATTTTAGAAGATTGATTAGATTTTATTCTAGCTCAATGCATAGACAAAGAAGTGTTCAAATAAATTATTCGAATGAAATTGTAGCTTTCGATTACGAGTGGTTAATTCATATTCGCCATTTTGTTCTTGAAGATTAATTAGATTTTATTTTAGAATTTTATTCTAGCTCAATGCATAGCCAAATAAGTGTTCAAATAAATTATTCGAATGAAATTGTAGCTTTCGATTACGAGTGGTTGATTCATATTCGCCATTTTATTTTAGATTAATTAAATTTCATTCTAGTTCAATGCATAGCCAAATAAGTGTTGAAATAAATAATTCGAATGAAATTGTAGCTTTCGATTACGAGTGGTTGATTCATATTCGCCATTTTATTTTAGATTAATTAAATTTCATTCTAGTTCAATGCATAGCCAAATAAGTGTTGAAATAAATAATTCGAATAAAATTATAGCTTTCGATTACGATTACAATTGCAACCCTTTTGTGAAAGTTACGATCTTCAATTGTATATTGGATATTTTTCAAAAATTAGTTTTTCGAGATATATTATAAGAACGATATAAGAAAATCCCTGGAATTTTTACTGAGATTTTCAACTCTAACAATTTGCAACTCTTTAATGAAAGTTACAATACTCAATTGTATATTGTATATTTTAAAAAAATTAGTTTTTTTGGAATATATTAACATCGATATAAGAAAATCCCTGGAATTTTCCCTGAGATTTCCAATTCTAACAATTCATATTCGCCATTTTATTCCAGAAGATTGATGAGTCAGATTTTCCAATAAATTGATTAAAAGTTTGAATTTGAAGATTGAAGCTTGGGGTATTAAAAATCGAATTTAAATTGTAATTCATTCGCTGTTCGATCGATGATTTAATCACGGAAGATAATCGTTCATAAAAGCGAACGACGAAACGGTAATATTCTCGACCGATTCGACGGCTCTTCAATTCCGCGCGCAACAAAGGACCAACCCCCCTCCGGAGGGAACGTTACATTATCGAGGAAAATCGAGAAACAGCGAGTCACCTTTTTCATCGTAGAGACGTGGGGAAGGGCTGAGCCACCCCTTCGACGCCCTACAACCGGTGTCCACCCCCTCCAGGTGTTCCCTGCTCTCGAGTCGATCCGCCCCCTCCAGCGAAAACTGGAGCAAGGACACCCTCGCCCACTCCCGACACCGCATAATAGCGCCCACAGTCACACTCGAAATCGACAAATGGACCGAAACGGATGCAGATGTTGATCCGCGTCCTCATGACGTCGACGGTGTCGTCGTTTCGCGTTTCCACTACCAACAATACCCCTACGGGAGGGCGAGAGGGGGACAGCTGGGCGGTAATTGAATCGGGCGGAATCGAACCGGAGAAAATGGGATTTTCACGTGCAGAAGGATAATTTACCCTTCTTCTTCCCCCTCCATCTCCGTCGATAACTCATCCGTACATTGGGGTGGAAATATAATTTCGACTCCTCTCCGGAGGCCATCCACGACGAGTATATATTCACGATCACGCGACGTAATGTCTTTTTTCCTATTCCGAATGGTGATGTTCTTTAATTCGTTCTTTCCCGGGGGGGGGGGATTGTTTCAGAGACCGCCGTGAGAAAGTATTGCAACGAGGAGCTGAAGGTGGTCCCCGGCGACGGTGGCTTCATAAAGTCACCGGGATATCCGCTCTACTATCTCGGGGAGAACACGTGTGGTTGGACCTTCAGATCGGCCCCCGAGCAAAGGATCCTCCTCACTTTCCACGACCTGGATATACGGGGTGAGTATCGATCCGGATGGGCTAAGTCTACCCCCCCTGGTAATCTCGTCTAATCACGTCGAGTGGATTCGGCCCGGGGAATCGATTTAAAAATCATGAGACGGACAGCTTCCGCGAATGTGCAATCGTTTCGCGTTTCATCCCCCATTTTCAAATCGCCCTTTTCAAAGTTTCGCTTAGAATTTCCTATACGATTGGTCAGTGTTTTTCGTTAATAATTCAAAAACGAAGCCCCATCCGACATTTTTGCAAAGGAAATTGTTGTTCAGAATCGTCTCACCTACCCCCCATTTCCGGTTCTTACACTATTTACGGGACACCCTGTATACAACGTACTCTATATGCATCGCCTTTAAACTTCACGACTTTTCCTAAAATCTACGTATAATATTTCAATATCCGCTTCTATTTTTATTGTTTATTTTCTGAGAAAAATTTGTAGTCTGTCTTATGTATCTATTTGTAACAGTATTATCTGGAAGACTCGATTCTGAAACTGTAAAGTCGTTTGGAACGAAAGATAATGCAGTTGTGGCTGTAAAGTGTCTTCTAGAGACTGCTTTAGGCACTTCCAGGTGTTTAGAATTCTCCAGACATTCTCCAGGTATTTGCCAGACTGGTATCTGAAGTGGTCCAAAACCTCGGATTTTTTATTATAATTGTAAAATAAATGAAATCATAACCGAAGGGGATGCCTAGACTTCTCACGAATTCAAATCAGTAAAGTCTTGTGAGCATCAAAACGTGAAAGTTGCCTGGAGCATATTTGGCAGTCATTTATTATTTTATATTTTTATTCATCAAATCATCATTATTCTACTCTTATTTTATCTGAATGAAAGTGTTGGATGACCAATAGGCCCAAACCTCGATACGTTATCGTCTGTTAGTCACAAGGCATGTTAGTCACTAGGTCTATGGGTCCTCCTCCCCTACTATTGCTAAGGCCCAGTTGGGCCTCAAGGTCCAGAGTTGCACAAGAAGTCTGTGTTAACGTCTTGTCCAAGAGAGTCAACTTTCATTGCAAATTCTATTATTCTTCATAGTTGAGTTCGTCGTGAGTTCAACGTAATTGAAAGTTGCCTGGAGCATATGTGGCAGTCATTTATTATTTTATATTTTTATTCATCAAATCATCATTATTCTACTCTTATTTTATCTGAATGAAAGTGTTGGATGACCAATAGGCCCAAACCTCGATACGTCATCGTCTGTTAGTCACAAGGCATGTTAGTCACTAAGGGTCCTCCTCCCCTACTATTGCTAAGGCCCAGTAGGGCCTCAAGGTCCAGAGTTGCACAAGAAGTCTGTGTTAACGTCTCGTCCAACAGAGTCAAATTCCATTGCAAATTCTATTATTCTTCATAGCTGAGTTCGTCGTGAGTTCAACGTAATTGAATAAACTCTTATCATACAAAAGGATTACTCGACATTACTTGACCACCCAGATTCCAACAAAAGAAACTATATTTTTACACTGTAAAATTGTCTATCATTTTCACTCTACATTAAAAAATACAAGTTGTGCTAAAAACTGGTCATTTGAGTCATTTTGGGTCATTTGGTAGGAGCATACGTGAAGTGCCGGTATTAATAGTGTTAAATGCTTGACTGGTTCAAGACGTGGTCGAGATTGAACAAATTAAAAAATTTTAACTATTGGAAAGCGTATTTTAACCCTTTAACGCTCATATATTTTGTGTTAACCAAGAATGATCAGTGTTCTCTATTGGATTTGTTTCTAAGCTACATAAAAATGCGGTTTTTGTCACTTACAATGTTGCATCCAACGCATAATTCGTAGGAAAACAAATGTTGTTATCCCTTAAGCTGTTATATTAAACAAATATCGTTTTTCAAGGCAGTCAGACTCGAGCATGAACGTTAAGGGGTTAATGTTCCCAAGAGGGAGAGTTAAGAAGGGGAAAAGGGGAAGATGAGGGAGTTAAAAGAGTAGAAAGAAGGGAAATAACTATAATAAAGAACAGAAAACAGGTGGAACTAGCAAGTAGAGGATTTAGAAAGTAGATGATAAATGGTGCTTTCACGAAACCTATACTGCTAGTATCGCACCCACAAAATATAGAATAGAATAGAATAGAAAAGTTCCTAAGGGTAACAGAGTTGTAGAATATTATGTGTTAATTTAATAATTGTTTATTATGTGAATATATGTTAATATAGTAAATTGTGGGGGATGTTCATTAAGTTTTACTGTTTTTCCAGGCTCGGAGGAGGACGGAAGCTGCGTGGACGTCGTCAGGGTGCGGGAAAGGGGAAGAACGCTGTTCGAGTATTGCGGTGCAGCGGCTGGCGTCACGGTCGTCTCGAATTCGAACGTGATCACCCTCGACCTTGTCGCCTCGAAGAGCCTTTACACGGCTCGGGGATTCTTCCTGCAGTATCAAGGTCAGCCCGACCGGGCGATTCTTTTTTCGAAATCGAAGAAACGAGATCCGTGCACGCATGGTCGAAGATCGACGGACACCCAACACTGACAAACGCCCATGATTACGCAATGAATTTTACTCGTCTGGAAATAACATTCGCGGGGATTATTTTCAGAGCACCCAGCGTCACTCGACACGCCCGGAACTCAATATCTCGTTGTTACTAGCGTTCGTCCATCGTTGACCATTTCACTCGAGAAACGACTAAACAAAACAAAACAAAATTGAAGAATTTTTATTTATTTTCGACAATTAGGGAGAGAAAATTTATTTTTTCTTCATTTTCATAACATTTGGGGGTCTCGAAAATATATTTCACGCGATTCGCTGTTGGAAACTGAACGGAACACGGCGCTGGGCCGCCGCCATGTTGAAACCGCGATCGAGAACTGTAACTTTTTGCAACGATCACGTAAATGGGGAATTTTCCATGACTGAATTATTGTTAAATGCGTACGTGGCCTTAATTAATCCACATGTTGCTGTTATTGTGGCGATAGAATAGACTTAATAAAGAGCCTCAGTTTAGTCGGTATCGTGATGTAGGTCGCGTCGAGTTTCTGGTGATGTTTACGCTCGAGTGACACGGATATTTTAATATTTCAGTTTTGGGCTGCCCGGATATCTCGACGCCGAACGGAAGTTTCGTATTGAATGGCACTCTGACGTCAAGGACGCTCCTATGCAAATTGGGCACCGTGTTCCCTGACAGCAAAGAAAGAACAAGGATACTCGAGTGCAAGAACGGCAAGTGGAACGAGAGCGTCGTCGCCATACCAAGTTGCAAAGGTAAGAATATAAGTTTATGCGACTATAAATAGCGTTTGAGGATGGTCATGTGCAAACATTCATGGAAAGAGGTTACAGGAAGTGTGACTTTGTTTTATCTGTCTCTAATAAAAATGGCCGCATCACGCACGCATTCGTACTGTTATCTTAAGCGTGCATGTTCGCGTGACATTAAGCCACGAGTTTTACTGTAGCAACTGCTAGTGTCACGACAGTTGACATCGCGAGGAGCAAAAGTTGCGTTGTCACGACGTTTTAGTCGACGTTGCGCCATAGATGTCAGTGTCAAAGTGTGAAGATTGATGGTATTGAAAGAAAAATAGTAGAAATTTGTAACCCCTTTTACTCGTAAATTCAAACCATCCTTATTATTTATTTATGAAGAAATTGAGAGCAGACTCTTTGGATCCTCTGAGAAAAAAACAGGTTTCGATTATGAAAGAATTAAAATTTTTTTTTTCGTGTATCTTGGTAATAGTCAAAATTTCTTTACGTCAGAGAGGACGTTTATAATTCTTGCACGATTGTAGCATGCAACGAACAATTGATACGTTCTCATTGACATCATGCTTTTAAATAATTTCTCTTATTGCAAGTTGTGAATCAGATGCTGCGCGTAAAGTAACGCGTTCTTTATGGTCTGACGAGGACGGTACTTTTCCACTAGTCTCCTCGAGCCACAGTTCCTCACATTTTTCAATAAATTATAAATTTTTAATTGTGGACACTGTTAAATTTTATTTTTGTGAATTTTGTTCTGTTTCAAATTTGTTGAATTTTTGGCCCCGTTGAATTATCATAGATTATAGACATTTCGAGATCGTAATCTGAGTATATATATATATATTATAATAATAGAAATATATTCTTATAAAAAAAATCATTATTCAAATAAGTAAAATAATATTTTTTTTTTTGATAAACAATATTTTCCAATACTTTTGCTATTTTTTGATTTTTGTCATTTATTAATGACCTAACTCAGACCTAACTCAGACCTAACCCAGACCTAACCCAGACATTTCAAATTTGTTGAATTTTTCGCCTCGTTTAATTATCATAGATTATAGACATTTCGAGATCGTGATCTGAGTATATATATATTATAAAAATAAAGATATATTCACGTAAAAAAATCATTATTCAAATAAGTAAAACAATATTTTTTTTTTTTTTGAAAAACAACATTTTCCAATACTTTTGCTATGTTTTGGTTTGTCTCATCTATTAACACTAGAACTACCAAACCAGTCAAAATGACCAATTCGTAATTTCTAATAAAATTTGTAAAAAATTTACTCGACTGAATTTTTAAAAATTTATCGTAATTTTCTATAAGTAAATATATAAACACTTATTTCTATAAATCGTCTAACTATCGTTTCAATTTCTTTGATACAAATAAACACACTATAATTGTCGGTAGTTCTAGTGTTAATGACCTAATCCTAACCTAACCTAGACATTTCGAGATCGTGATCTGAGTATATATATTATAATAATAAAAATATATTCTCACAAAAAAATCATTATTCAAATAATTCAGATAATATTTTCTTTTGTAACAAACAAGATTTTCCAATACTTTTCCTATATTTTCATTTTCCTCATCTATTAATGACCTAACCCAGACCTAACCCAGACATTTCGAGATCGTGATCTGAGTATATATATTATAATAATACAAATATATTCTCACAAAAAAAATCATTATTCAACTAATATTTTCTTTTGTAACAAACAAGATTTTCCAATACTTTTCCTATATTTTCATTTTCCTCATCTATTAATGACCTAACCCAGACCTAACCCAGACATTTCGAGATCGTGATCTGAATATATACATTATAATAATACAAATATATTCTCGTAAAAAAGTCATTATTAAAATAATTCAAATATTTTCTCTTTTAACACTAAATTTAGGGGCATTGATCATACGTATATTTATTGATGCCTTTCATGTTGACGATTACCTTACAATACGATTTTTCTTTTAATTAGAATATGTATTCATGCCAGTGCATCAATCAAATTCAACATAAGTTGTTAAAAAATAATATTTACGCGTTCCGTAGTTTTAAATGTGGAATCAGACATCCGTCAAATTGACGACTTCCGTAAATCTAGTGTTAACAAACAACATTTTCCAATACTTTTGCTATGTTTCGATTTTTCTCATTTATTAACACTTGGCATGCGGGTATACTTCGCCAGCAACTTACGCGTGCAGCGGCCATTTTTTCGTGAATCGTGGGAAGTTTGGTTATTCAGTAAAATCACAGTAAATCGAAAACTACTTCGTTTTTATCAACGAAACTTTTTTTATTTTACACTTAAATATATACTGTATGATTATTTTAACACAGAAAACGATATTTTTACGAAATTACGAAAATATCCGTTATCCATCACAAATCTACTAAACACGTATTTTTACGTGACCCGCGCTCCAACGACAGACTGTAAAAAACGTAAAAATACGTTGCCCGCATGCAAAGTGTTAATACCTGTATTATTTGTTTACAATTTATTTGTGAGAAATTAAGCACCTGTGGATTTTGGCCCTGAGCGTGATTACGTCTCATTTTAACCGTAAAAACCGTGAACGCCTGGCTCGCAATGACGCGTGTCTTTGAAATCAACGAGTTTTCCATAAAAAATGTGGCTTTATCGCGTCGTGTCCCGTGCATCGACGAGATTTATGGTGCTCGTGGCGCTCGAAGTTGTCGGTACGTCCCTCGGGGAGGGGGGGGCCTCCCGTTAACCCATGGCTGCCCATCGTCTTCGTAAGGGGAAAACCGACGGGTGTGGGGGGGGGGATATCGCGGTTAAATGGTGGGACGTTGGGTGAACTGGAGGGGCTAGGGGGACAGGATGAAAGAAAAAGACGGAGGGAAAGAATCTCGGGGCGGCGAAGTATTCGTGAAGGCACCATACATCGGCAGCGTCGCGCACGTAACGACGCCAGCCGTCTCGACGCCACGTGTCCGGGCGGCGAATAAATCGTTGGTGAAGAAATTCACCGGGCGCGTAACGAATTTTATCGTACGGTTCGTTTCGTCGGCGATAATTTATCAAATTTGCTGCGCGCTGGTGTCGATTAGATAATCGAGTGATATCGGGTGCTCCGTTAAATAGTACGTGAAACGTCCCCGGGAAAGTAACAGCCACACGATAACCGCCAGGTAATTCTGTCAATATGAATTACGTTATTATTATTTATCGTTAAAGTGCCCTTCGAATGTATCGAAACCTCGGATGTAAGAATAGACGATGAAAGAAAGAATGAGAAATGTATTGTTCTCGATGCTTTACGTTGCTAAGTGAAAGAGTAATTTCACGCACGACGAACTGTGAAATTGCATTCCTCTATGTTGTTTCTTTTCTTTTCTCCGCTCGTGCGTATGCAATATTTCTTTCATTGCCTGGATAAGTACACGATATAGTGTGCTGGACGAGCTGGTCTACTGTTTTTGTCGGTTGTTGTGCAGGATGGTTTATTGAACCGACGATCGCCGTCTATGCTGTTCAATTATCTCTGATTGAAAAAATACGCCTATGGTCGGAGTACATACATACGTGATTCAATGTGTGTAACTGTACATTGGTCGAATTTAGAATCTTAACGTGCCGATACGTTGGTAGCACTGATTGTTTTCTATCAGCATGTAATCGTGTTAAGGAACCACAGAAAATATCTAGATCCTCGTAAAACGATAGGTATTAACGAAAATGGAGGAAAGTTTCTGATTCGAGAAAGTGATGCATTGAAATTGAACTAATATTAACACTGGAACTATCAAATCGGTCTAAATGATCCATTCGTAATTTTAAATATGGAATCTGATATGAAAACTTGTAAAAAATTCACTCGACTGAATTTTTGAAAAAATTTTCTATAAGAGAATATATAGACACTTATTTCCATTGCATTATACATTTCTTTTTATATTTTTGGTACAAATAAACACACTATAATTGTCGGTAGTTCCAGTGTTAATAATTCAGTAAGAATTTGTTTGAAATCGAGCATATTAATATACTTGGCAATAAGAACGCCAAGTTATCTACAGTCTAAGTGAATAATCGAATTTTTTAATTCGTTGAGAAGAGGCACAAAATTCATGAATTTTATTTGAAATTATTAAATCAACATTCGTTTAGAAAAATTGCTTAACATTACATAAACTCGAAGATATCAAATTATCGTTACATCAGCGTTCGAATCTGATAAAATCATATTACAGGTAGTCGAATTTAAACGCTATTTGCTTCAATATATTTTTTTTTGCGATCGTCAGGAAGTAATACTTATTTTCTGTTTACGAATAATTTCGTTGATGAATTTTGTAAATATTAAGAAACTAAATAAGACATATCTAGTATTAGGAATTTTAGAATCGATTAATTTTTTTAGTTTATTTAATCCTACAAATAATGTGTGCAATTTAAACTAAATTTTAAGTCTAAAAAATAAATTCAACAACGATTGGATAGCCCGGTACGCCCGCAAAGGATTACTATAACATTCCATACGTTGCATACGTCTACTTTACTCTTCACGAATAACACGAATTCACGAAAATTTTAGGTTCGTTTGTGTTAATGGATTTCAATTCACGAGTGGAAAATTACTGTCGCTGGTGTTTAAAATTTACGTCAGTCGTGCTCGACAGATTCAACAGAGGCGTTGCACCTCACGCGTCGTGCGTTATATTTAACACCAGTGCGAGGGGAAACCACCAAAATGGCGGATTCAAATTTCTAATTTAAAGTCACAGAAATTGCTAGAATGAATTCTGTCGAAATAAAAGGAATTATCCATCGCGATTTATTAAAGTTTGTTGCAGATGCGAGCGTTTTGTAATTCGCGCGCGTCTTTGAAGGTACATATGTAGGAGCAGTGTGATCGTCGATTGTTAGGCAAATAAAAGAATCGTGCTAAGAAGCCGCATGTTGTTCCGTTCGTTTTTTTTAATAAAGAAAACCCCATAGCT